ACCAAACCCATACAGACACAGAATAGGAAAAAAAATAGATAAAATATAAAATTTTTTCCTAAACAAAATGTTTGATAATTATTTGGAGGTTAGTAGGAGGTTATAGAGATTTTGCATGTGAAATTTGACCATTTTCTGATGCATAAAAGTATTTTTAATCTTAAAATCAAAATTACTTTGCATGTTGGATAGTCAACATTTGAAAAGAAAAAATTCACTAGCAAATCATTACTTAAAAAAATCTTAAAACTAAATAAAAACAATCTGATATTTTGTATACGAAAGCCTTGTAATGTTTACTGATAAACTGCAAAATTTGTGAAGATGCACATTAAAAGTTATAGTATGAAAACTATAACAAGCACAAAATGGTTAAAAGGTCTGTCCCTGGGACTGAGCCTGTAGTGAGAAAGTTAAACACATGAATTTAGGTAGGAGTTACCTCAAGGCTAGTGGCATGCAAATCTCATTGGCAAATGTGTGAGGAAGGTAGCATTTCTGGATAGATAAGTATCTATTGGAAATATATTTTCTGATTAAGAAAATGTTAACTTCTGACATCTTTAACCTGTATCATTGTATTGGGAATGGTAAGAAAATATAGTCATCCAGCCTCTTTCTAGCTGACCAAATGATGCATTACAGGGTATGGCTGCATTGATGTTTTATTTTTCATTTGCATTTATCCTCCATGTACCCTCCAGTTTCTGTGGTGCTCTGACAAGATGTATGTAGAGTACTATACTAGATGTACTTCTGCAGGGTCTGCAAAAGTGTTATATATATCAAGAGTAAATAAAACCAAAATTAACAGTAACAAATATTTTCATTTCTTGATTTTGAAGTTCATATGTCATGCTGTGTTATAGCCTACATGTTTCATGGCATGCACACATTTTACTGACTCACAATAGTACAAATTGCAATGTTTAGCATCCCTTATGTGACATCATCTTAGTGTCTGCTGACTGACTGACATTCGACACACTACTGTATAGTGGTGCGAGTGGTTAAAACAGGTGATCATTCCAAGTGACGTTGGGCCCCCTTATGAGGAAATTAATTGATATAAGAATATTATTTAAACTTTTGTAAGTTGTAGGAAATTTTATTGAATAAAATCACATATAATTGTTTATGCTTTAGAGAAAATCGATCAGATCCTTGAAACCTTTCCTCTTAGCTTAAATGACCTAATTCAATTATTCTTGTATCTTCTCATCTCTGAAGTCAATTTGATGTCTTTTGTATTCTAAAATGCTTTGAAGAATGTGGCCTCTTATGAGGTTACAATTACATTTTTGTTCTTAAATTAAAAAGATTCTATAAGCAGAATCAAGAACTCTACATTTATTTGTTATTTTCACCATGTATAAACATTGAGCATAGGGCTTCTATACTTTACCAATAATTACTCCCTTCATCCTTTTCAACTCAACAATGCTTTTCCCACACATAAAATTAGGCTCTTTCCAAATTTCCATATCCCAGTTTTGTTGTACCTACCAATTACCTGACCACAACTCCAGAATGTAGTATGGTAATCATGTCCATAGTAAAAAAAGCCTTATGGGTGAACAGAGATGGGGATAACAAATACTTTTTGATAGCTCAGTGGTGGAGTAATGGCCCAGTTAGCCAGATGTCCTTGGTTCAAACCCTGGTCAAAAAGTTTCTGTTTTATAGTTACTGATTTTTCCTATAAAAGTTTATGGTAGAGAGATGGAAGTAAGCCAATGTCAATTTGTTAAGTACAAATTCTGTTAGCTGTTAAATATAAGGAAAGAAGAGTTTTTATAGCAATATATGTGTAAATTGGATATGCTGAAAAGTTTTTATGTTGCGTAGCTCCTTAGTTGACTAAATTGAGAGTGAACTTGCCAGTTGCTAAGTTACAGGATATTAGGTAAAGGCATGATTTATTCCTTTCACAATGAGAGATCCTATGAATGCTTTTCTGCACAAGTCACTGTGTTACATTCAAAATATAATTAAACACCTTTAATAGCAATTTATGTGAATGAAATTAATATTATAACGTGTGTTATGATTCAAAGTTTTAAGTCCTTTATTACAAAACAAACTAAATAAAACTACTTAAAACTTCAGATGTATTGTAATGTGACCAATGGGCTATGAAAATTCTCAACTTTGCTTCTCTGTATCTTCAATAATACAACGGTAGTTGAGTAGATGTATGTCTAGACAATAAGATGCTTACATAACCTTTTGACTCATTCATTTCAAAGCTCTCTGAATGAATACATTTGAAACAATTAATAATTTTTTTCAACCCCTGACAGCTGCCATGACCACCTTCATCAGATTTGATAGAGCTTTGTAGTCTACATGTAGATGTGTACATAAAATGTGTATATTCATTAGAAAGAGGTCATTTTACACTATCATCTAACTATGGTTATTTTGAAATTTGCATGCAGATACATTTTAAATTGTATTTAGGTCTTACTAATATATTTTAGTTAATTATGTATTAGTTATGTTTTAAAATGCATAATTAAAAGGTTTAAACATTTTAAAAATAAACTTTGCTTCTGTTCTCATGCTTGCGATATTACATGCTGAACAAAAATTTTGACGAAGGGATGCGCATGTCTCCCAAAGAAACTTTAATATGCCCTGAGGGCACCATTGACTTGTGTTGAGATGAATAATAAGTGGTAATGGACAAGAAAGGAAAATAAAACATTAAAAATTAACTATTATGTGAAAAGGAAAAGACCTGAAATTATGAATTTAGCAAAAGGAAAATCTTTAAAGATATTCAACAAAAAATTAAAAGGTATATATTTTTTTTTCTATTTCTTAATTTTAATTAATGCATTGCATTGTATGTTGATGATAATAGTTTGAGTTAGTGATTTGGTAGAGAAAATGAAAAAATATAAACATATAAATATAATGAGGGGTTGGTATTAATTATAGATGGTTTAGAGAAAAGGTTTTTACTTCAGTAAGTTCAGAAAACAGGAAATAGCCACATTTTATGTTAATCTGAAGGAAAATTTGATGTATTTCATAAGCAAGTGTCCTGCAAGCAGAGTTTTGGTCAAAATTTTGTTCATTTGTATGATAATGCATGCATCTACACGTGTGTTCAATAGCTATCTTTCAGTTGAGATGTTATAAAGAAATATCCAATGGTTTTGTAAAAAAGTGTACTAATGTTCCTGTACAAAACTTCAATTTGGTAAGACTATAACAGAACTTCTTCAAGATTGTGTGAAAAAACCAGTTGGAAACATATGTTATCAAAACTATATCAGCTACACACTTGAAAACATCTTACTTGATGTTACCCATTTTGGAGTTAGGGAATCAGCATGTAGCTTAATCACGAGATTGACTTCAAACTTGTAACGAAACACCATTTAATACAAGAACAATCATATGATGGTGCAGGATATGAATATTGGAGATTTAACCTAGGTAACGTATGCTTCAAATAATCATTGGGTTTTTCTTACATCAAAGGAAATGATGTATGAAATCTAATTTCAATATACTACATATAGCCTTGATGCCTAGTCCACCTTCTAAACTTTTCTTTGTGAATGCACATAGTTGAGACATTCTTTCTGTTTGTCCTGTTGCCACTTCTGTCTGGAATAGATTTCTACCCAATCAGCCAGATTTCCTATTGTCGTCTTCCAGAAGTTTGTTGCCAATCAGCTAAACTCTTCTTGATGCTTCATCCCCCATCAGGTTTTTCTTTTGCCACAAAAAAACCACCCACCCCAAATATTTCATAAGTTTATGGAATAATGAAACAGTAATAAGCAGCTAACTACTATTACAATCCCGTTTTCTTAAAAGCTGCACTGATTGACTGTTCCAGGAGGAATAAATGTATCTTTTTATTTTTGTATATGTTTATTGCTCATTTAATCATCCAACATGGAACATAATGAATATACATACCCCTTAAGGAGAAAAATTCCAGCTTAACAAAATATTAACATCTACATGCATAAATGCTGCTTCAGGTAAATTTGTATTAAAGTTATGTAGAGTTATATATGATATAGCAAAGCTTTTTTCTTGTTGGGTTACTTCGTGCTGTCAACAGCTATATGTGACTTCAAATTCTGAATGTCTATGATGCAGATACATTTAGGAAAATAAATGAAGTATTTGTGCAGGAGTTATAAGGATAGTTTACTTACTTCCTTACAGTAATAAGACAGCTAAACTTATGTGTCTGCTTAATGATTAGCTTCTATCACATCCAGCCAGTGATAGATCTGCTGAGTAGAATGGAAAGAGATAGAACTACTTACAAAAAGGAATGATAAATCAAAATTACAGAAATAACTCATTTTTTTCAACAAGTTACAACTTGGATCTTTTCAAGCTGAGCTATTGTATGTTAAAGCTGGAACGTTGTCTGTAATCTTGATTTGTCTTTTGGCTTGTGTAATTTATGGTCATGTTGAAAATTTGCTCTGTACACTTGTCTTTTGAGATTTGTATTTGTTACTTTCATATTTGAAGATCCCATAAAATTGTTATATTAGCTATACTATTACAAATTGTAGAAGATGATCCACTTTTGTAGGGTTATAGTCCAGTCATCTTCACTTAGTTTTTCATTTATTGATAGCTTACTGTGTGGTTTAAAAATAATATTTTGACTATGAAGCAGTGTAGTTTGTGTATGTGTTGATGAGTAATTGTTTTAAATATGTGATGTGAAATGTAAAACTGTAAGATGCAGTGTAAGCTACATATACATTTGTCTAAGGCAGTACCTTTGGTTCACTAATTTATTTTTAATTCATTTTATATAAACACTAACTTATTTTTAGCTTAAATTATAACATTTTCACAATTTGAAAATTCCTAGTTATAGGTACAAGTAATAATTTCTTTTGATCTTTTAAAATATCTTGTGTTAAGTCTAAATGAAATGTTTTTTGTGCAGGAGCTTTCATTTATTTAGAATTATAAGTTATATCACATTTTTGAATTTTTTTTAGGCAGAGTTTGTTAGAATAGGACATCCTCAGAACCGATTTGCTAAAGCTGCGGAAAATGCCTCAATGGCAATAAGTGGGCTTGTAGAAAAGTGAGTTTTGTATAAATGCATTGATTTTCTTTTTATATATTTGAGTAAAGTGTAGATTTTACGTGTGTGTGTATATTGTTTAATTTATATGAAACAGTGTATTACCAAGTACAGTATATAACTTGGTAACCAGAACAATGGTTAAGTAACTATTAGAAATGATAAAACTTATTAATTTTTGTAGGCAACCTCTATGAGGATTCTTTCCTCGAGATACTACTTTATACTTCTTGTGTCTTATATAATGCATTTATGTAACTATTAAAGTTATGGTGAGAGTGTATTTGTAAAGTGCATTGACTTACACCCATTAACATTTTGTGTATGTGTGTATGTATATGGATATATATATTTATATGTATTACATTATCAAGTGCTTTATAAGGTGATATATTACATAACATGGAAAAATCTAGTTTTATTTTATCTCAGTATTTTATTACATTGCTCTACAGACATAACCAATGATTTTATGATATTTGTATCTCATGCTTTAAATTCAGGAGTAGAGATAATGAAATAAAATTGCATTCACTGGAGGGAAAGCTATCCGGAAGATTACATTTCCTCTTGAATTGTTTTTTATTTTATCCATGCAGTATGTTCACTTTCATTGGTCATAACTACAGGAATATGGATGGACCATGCATTCCCGATCAGGGAAAGCCAACTAAAAAGATGAAAGTTAAATTCCTTGGAAATGCAGGAATGTAATGTTTTGATCCCTGAAATTTTATTATTATTATTGATATTGAAGAGCTTTATACATCAAAGAATGATTTATCATATGGTCTGTGCATGTATAGTCATACTGGTGGATTTTCCCATAAAGTTAACTTGTGTCTTTTGAAACTGGAGTATTGTATGTTAAAGCTGGAATGCTCTGTAATCACAATTTGTCTTTTGGCCTATGTAGTTTATGGTCATGTTGGAAATTTGCTCTGTAAACTTGTGCCCTTTTGTGATTTGTATATTTTACTGTCATAGTGGAAGGGCATTGTTCTTTAAATGAGGAAATTTTTTATGGGCTCTCAATATCTGTAATGCATTCACTATGTTTGCATTCAAAACATCCAAAAGTATTAAAATTGACAAACAGTAAGATATACTTTTGATTCTTTACTTGAAGTCTCTAATTGATTGAAAAAAAGAAAGAATTAACCATGCTTAATTCTAATGGAAAACATCCATAATATTAATTTAGAATTAAACCCCTTTCTCACACATCATAACACAGAGTGTACAAGTCTGGTAGCTTGATGCCTATGGCTAATACATAATTGTGATGAGCTACCAAAATTAACATGAGCACTTGCTTGTTGGGGTATTAACCCACTCACATTATACATTCTGATACGATTACTTACATTCTTCACAATTACAGCTGTTCTCGCTTTGACTGGTCTTTAGTGTACAAATTTTTTCTCTCCATTAGTCTTGAAACTCTCATCTAATTCCATGTGTATACTACATGGTTTAGCTGCATTTAAGCATGCAAGTTAGCCTGCAACAGTCCTCCTATCGCAACTGACCCCTTCTATGCAGTTGAACCCAATCTTAACTTCTTGATTTGGCATGACAGTGTTAAAACCTAGTGCATGATTTTCAACAAATTTTTTTCTTCTTCTTTAGTGTGTTTTAAAAATATTCAGTTACTGATTTTCACATTTCAAAGTATTGTTTATAATCCACTTTCAAGCTGGATTTCTTTATTTGATTGTGAAGTCTATTTCTCATTCAATTACTGGTAGTTAGTCAATATTCATGAATTCACAATTTAATATTATGACTACAGTGGCTATTGATGGTACTGGCATTCAAAAGTCCATGATAATGGCTATAGGTGTTATCAGTGGAAGAAGTGTTGGCCGTAGTTCATCAGGAGATGACTTCTTTCATGTAGGCTGAGGGATCTCCACATCTACAGGCAATTCTGCCATTACTTGAGGACTTAAATCAGGATGATGCAGACTTGGACAACCTCTTCCTACCCCTTCCTTTGCTGTACAAGCACATTCTCAGCCTTTTGAAGCACCTAAACCTCAATCACCACTTTTAGACTTGATATCACAGATATGTTGTATTTTGTCTTTGTCACCCATGTAATTTCATCCCCCCCCTTCCTTATTAACTGCAGCACCTAGTTCTGAGTTTTGTTTTCCTCCCTTCACCTGATATTGGGGTTCATGCAGATCAATTACATCTGGGCGTTAGTATACTGTGCCCTCCATGCACTACAGAGGTTTATGCACTTGCATATTATTGCTCAGCAAACCCTTGGGTCATTTGAGTTTTATAAGAAGGATTTTCCCTCCATTTTCTCACACCTCTCGCCTTATCCCCTGTCCTCATGATTCTGTTTTCTGCAAGCACCTCATAGAAGCAATTCAAGACCCTCTCATTGAGGCACCATCGAACAGGTTTCTCCTTTGCTTCCAGGGACTCTATTTACGACATTTTGTCTTCCCCAAGAAGACTGGGCATTGGTGTCCTGTTTTTAATCTCTCCCATTTGAACCACTTTCTTGGTTCACCATGGAATCCTACCTGTCTCTCAGATGGGCCTTTCTTCCAGGGCTTTGGATGATGAGATTCGATGTGTCCAATGCTTATCTTGACATCCCTATTGCTTGGGCTTTATGTCATTATCTATGTTTTGCCCACAAAGATCATGTTTATCAATTCAGAGCTTTTCCTTTCGAGCTGGCATTGGCACCCTACGCTTTTTTTTGGTTGGGTGGTAAGGTCATTTCCTGATTCCTACATTCGGGCTCAATTTCCATCTTTATATGGATGATTGTCTTCTTCTGGCTGCATCCTACATAGAATATTTCTCAAACACTCAATTTCTTCTCAGAGAAGCTGCTCAGGTGGGATGGTTTATCAAGGTGGAGAAGTTTATTGTCCAACCAACTCAATATCCTGTTTGTCTGGAGGTGTTTATTTTCAACTTGCATTTCAATTGAGTCCAACCTTCTCCTCTTTGTCTGTGATATATGGAGTTTTTCATTCAGAGGGCACTATCAGCACCTTCTCTCCCTGCGCAAGAGGTTCTGTCTGTTTTGGGGATTTGCGCATCACTGGAGGCTCTTGTCTCTCTGGGCGATGCCCATGTGTGTTCTTTGCAGTGGGTACTACAAGATCAATGGCACCTCATCAGGGATCCTCTTGATTTATGGATATCCCTTCCTGCTTCCCTTTAGTCCAACTTCCTCTGGTGGTTAGACAGGTACAACACATCATTGGCGGTATTTATTCCTCCTCTCTGTCCAGATAGCCATATCTTCACAGATGCCTCATTGTGAGGATGGGGTGCATGTTGCAATACACAGGAGATCTTGGGCTGTTGGTGTGTCAGGAGAAGTTAGGTCCTTACATCAACCTTTTGGAACTCGTTGCTTTTTGTTAGATGATGGTTCATTTTCTGTTGTGCTGTGGGGCACAACAGTTATGATTTATTCCAACAACTCGATGGTTGTCTCTTATATAACCAATCAAGGGCACTCGATTCTGGTCCTTGTGCTCTAGCACTCTGTATCTCCTCTTCTGGGCTCACAGCCATCACCTTCATTTGCTGGTTTGTCACAAGCCAGGTGCACTCAATCTTGTTGCAGATTGTCTGTCTGTCTGTCCGAACAAGATTCTTTCTCTCAACCTCAAGGTATTCCAATGTCTATGTTCTCAGTTGAATTATCCCCAGTTGGATGCATTTTCCACTCATTTGAATGCCAAGCTTCCCCTCTTTTGTTCCCCAGTTTCACATCATTTGGCTTTGGCCATGGATGTATTCAGTCAGGATTGGAAGGACCTTTTCCTTTATACATACTTTAACATTTGTCTTCTGCTCTGAGTAATTTGTCTCATCCAGTCTACTCTGTGTTGGGTCCTTCTTGTGGCTCCTTTCTGGCCAGCTTAGCTGTGATTTCCTTCCCTGACCCTTTTACAACCTCCATTACATCTTCTTTTCTCCCAGTCCCTCCTTAAATACTTTACTCAGGTGTGCTTCATCCCTCCTTTCTCACATTCTATCTTCACACATGGCTTTTGTCTGGTCTCTGATGAGGGGTTTGGGACCATCCACATTTGTAGCATCCCTGTTGTCTCACTCTAACCATTCCTCATCCATGTCTGTGTATCAACATAAGTGGAGAATATTACATCATTGGTCTATCCAGCATGGATTGTCCCTTCATCAGGTATCTGATTTTTTAGATGGTTGTTTGACAAGGGTCTGACTTTTTCATCTATTGCTGGCTATAGGGCACCCCTGTCATCTACTTATTTTATTCCCATTTTTATACTGTGTTTTGCTCTCCAGTTATATCTCTTCCTTCCACATCCAATATTTACTCCCACTCTGAGCTAGATTGTGTTTGTTTTTTGTTGTGAACTGCACTTTTTCATGACTCTTACTCCTGTTTGTTTATAATTTGGAATTTGTCCGTTTCTTGTGATATTTCTCCATAAATCTTGTCTATTGTTCTATGTATCTTCCCATCAGATCCATTACCTCACAATGACCTTGGCTGCTCATTTCCATTGTCCCTTGGAGGAGATTATCCAGGCCAGCATGTGGACCACTCCCCACACTTTTGAGTTGCACTACTTGCACCATCTGATGGTGAATGGTGCCTGACCTGGTATACTGATATCCAAAGTCTGCACCATGAGATCTATAAGGTCTGTCATGCTCATTGTGGAGATAGAGTGTTATACAAAATCGCTTGCAGGTTCTTCTTCACAGTGTACTGTGTCATAAATATGTTCATACCATACACTGACATGAGTAAAGCAGAAAGAGATTGCTGCTCATCTCTAATGTTCCATAGATTGGTGAATCGAAAATGGTCTACTTTTCAAAATATGGTTTTGTGGTCACCCATTGCATTTCTCCAGTGGAGTACAGGAGTCCTTACCACTTCCAACTTCCAAGCCACTGGGGTGGTGGATCATGTAGGAATTCTCATGAGCGTGCACAATTCCACTCAGTTGAGAGTAGAT